CTACCCATCAGTGACACAGCTAGCATGAGGTAGAGGTGAGATTTGCACACATTGTCCAAGTCCAGAGTTAATGCTGTCTCCCTAGGGGAGGTGATAAGCCCAGTGGTAGTTCTCCAGTGGGAGTCAAGGGAGCAAATGGAAGAAAGGAATAAAGGAGCAGAAAAAACGGGTGCCAGTGATGTTCCTGGTTTACATGTAAAGCAGCCCAGGTAATTTGTGATTTCATGGCTTGTAATGTAGAAGAAAGGACCTAACACTGATGGAGCAGACTGCAAACCATACCTTGCTGCATGTTTTAGGTATGTGGTTCATTGAACCTCTTGAGATCTGAGGATGGCATTAGTAGTCCTGTTTTACAGATGAGACAGGCTTAAAAGCCAAGTCCTTTGCCAAGGTCATGTGGTAGATAAATAAAGGAATACCTTATCTCCAAGCCATTTTGCACCACACTGCCCCACCTGAGAGCCCAGTCATGGCTTCAGCCAGGGCTGTTTCCTAGAGGGGGCCAGCTTTGGACTCTGGTCTGCTTGCTCCCAGCCTTGTTAAAGTGTTTGCCACCAAGTAGTGATGGTAAGTGGGGGGTTAATGGGGTATGGCCCTGAAGGTCTCATTTCTCTCTCTAGAAAACAGTCCGGGATAAAGAGCTGGAGGGCCTGCAGGTAAAAATCCAACGGCTGGAGAAGCTGTGCCGGGCGCTGCAGACAGAGCGCAATGACCTGAACAAGAGGGTACAGGACCTGAGTGCTGGTGGCCAGGGCTCCCTCACTGACAGTGGCCCTGAGAGGAGGCCAGAGGGGCCTGGGGCTCAAGCACCCAGCTCCCCCAGGGTCACAGAAGCGCCTTGCTACCCAGGAGCACCAAGCACAGAAGCATCAGGCCAGACTGGGCCTCAAGAGCCCACCTCCGCCAGGGCCTAGAGAGCCTGGTGCTGGGGCATGCTGGGAAGGGAGCAGCAGCCCAGCCAGGCCTGGCCCATAAAAGGCTCCCATGCTGAGCAGCCCATTGGTGAAGCCAGGATGTTCTGATCTGGCTGGCATCTGACACTTGGAATTTTGGATTTTGTGGGTCAGTTTTACGTACATACGGCATTTTGCAAGGCCTCATGCATTTACACCTGTAAGTGTACAGTGGGCTTTGCATTGGGGGTGGGGGTGTGTACAGATGAAGTCAGTGGCTCCTCTGTGAGCTGAAGAGTCTTGAGAGGGCTGTCATCTGTAGCTGCCTTCACGGTGAGTTGGCAGAACAAGTGACTTAAGCATTTCTCTGCCTGATTTGAGGCTCAGACTCCTCCCAGCCCTTCAGAGCTCAAGACAAGTGATACACCCAGGTCTTAACTGCATTTCTTTTGTGAGCAGGGCTTGCTTGAGCAGCTCAGGCTCTCCTAGCTGCTCTGGAGGCTCCTTTGCTTCTCTAGACCTGGAAAATGTGTCCCCAGGCAGAGCCCTGGCAGTGCGCTTGGAGCTGGTGATTTCCTGCCTAGGACAAGGGACTTAGAGAATGTTTTTATGTGGGATGATGCACTGGTCGGGAGCCCGTTGGGCATTGCTTCCCCTGCCCTTTGGTAGTGCCAGGACCAGGCCAACGATGCTTCTCAGTAGCCTTATCATTCACAGGTGCCTCTCTAGCCTGCACAAATGATTGACAAGAGATCACCCAAAGGATTCTTTCTGAAGGTGTTTTTTTCTTTTTTTTTTTTTTTTTTTTTGCACATGACAGTGTTTGTATTGAGGATCCTCTGAGGAAGAGGGGTGCTGTGGCAGTGGCGCCTGGGTGCCTGGCCTCCAGTGCCCCACCCCCTTCACCACTCCACTTGGCTCCTTTGCCATCTTGGTGCTGAGGTTTCCTGTGTGGTGAGATCAGGTTGTTTGTTGTAAGAAAGGAAAGGGCTTCTGATGGCTTTGCCACAAGCTTACCTGTGGGTTTCCGTCCTGAGAGGCCACCCCCAGTTCCCATCAGCACTGTCTCCATGCAGCAGTTGCTGGGCCCCAAGTCCAGCTGCCTCCTTGGCTTCATGGGTTTTTGTGTTTCCTGCCCCCACCCCCACATGTACAGTCCTCAAGATTTGTCCTGATTCCATTTCCTGGCACCTCCCTGCCTGTCCTTGGCGATTCCACTTCTGTGTGGGAGCCCGTAGCTATTGTCTGACAGGTAAGAAATGAAATTAAACTATTGACTGGGCCCTAGAAATCCATAAAATAGCTGTAGACGGTTGTTTCTATGTCCTATTCTCCCGCCACCCCTGTACCTAACTATGTACTGTGTAGAGCCATTTATATGCTGAATGTTCTGCTGTTGCAAACTTGCCAGGGTATTAGCCAGTCTTTATGCAAAGCAGTTTTCTGGGACAATAGAATGAGTCACACACCAAGATGGATAGGAGGTTAGGGCTTTGCTTCTTGCTGTTTTTCTTTGAAGCTAGTTCATTGTCCTCTGGTCCTTCATCTTCCCTACCCAGCCCACTCTTTCAGCCCTTAAATCTCTCAGATAAATTGGTTCATAAAGAATGTTAAGTACTGAATCATGTATGACTGAGACCAGAGATGGCAAATGAATGGCACATCATTTCTCCCCCTGCCCCAGGGCAGGTACCACTGTTCTGCATCAGAGTTGTCCACTATCCTCTGGTGTATCCTTAGTTCGCATCTAGGTGCCCTCACGCAGCTGTGTGAGCGTTGAGATCTCTTTGCCATCCCTGGCTGAGATACTGCTGTCCTGTGAAGTGTTTCCCAAGATCTTTTTCTTCCCTTTTGAATCCCTGTGTCTGGAGTAGTCCTTCCCTCTTCCTGCCCCAGTAGGGCCTTTTCCTTACCCCAGCCCCTGTGCCTGGCTTAGCTGGTACAAGTGCTGCCAACCCCACAGAGTGTTTGCTAGGCGAGAGAGGTGCAGAGAAGAGGCAGAGGTATGCACCTTCCCCCTTGAAGAGAGGGAAAAGGCCTACAGTGGCCCACATCATTGCCTGACTCACTTCAGCTACCTCTTACAGCCTGTAGAGGGACTGGAGCTGCTGGATCCCAGTGTGGTGGGTGTGGGAGGCCACAGTGAGCAGGTGGCCCCAGCTGGGTTTCCCAGGTCAGGAATATGGACACCAGACAAGGTGCAGCCTTTGCTCACAGCTCCATCCATGTCTAGATCTTCAGGCCAGTCTGCAGATGGGAATCCCTACCTTTTTCTTCCTATTCATTGACCAAATCATAACCAATCACTACAGCTGCTCTGCTTCTGCTTTCCAAAGTAGCCCAGGTCCTGGGCCAGATGCAGGGGAGGTGCCTATCCATGAGTGAAGGCCATTGCCTTCCTCACCCGGGTGGGTCCCACACTTGTGACCTCAGTTTTAGGACCAAGAGCTGTGTTGGTTTCTTAGATTGCTAGCTTTTCCTCCAGGGGACCACAGCAAGTGAAGCTCAGAGTCCATGGCTCTGCTAACAATAAGTTGTTTTCAGGGCCTTGTCCAGCCAAGAGCTTCATGTCCACCAGATTCTGAGAGGTGTCAGCAGCACTTTTTTTTTTTTTATTTGTTGTTTGTTTTCCATGAGATTTTTGGACCATGGGCTGAGCTCAGGCACTTTCTGTAGGAGAATGTTATTTCTGTAAAGACGGTTATTTAACCCTCCTCCACCCCATCATGGCGGCCCTGAGGGCTGACCCGGAGGCCAGTGGAGCTGCCTGGTGTCCACGGGGGAGGGCCAAGGGCTGCTGAGCTGATTCTCCAGCTGCCGCCACAGCCCACCCACCTTACACAGCACAGAGGTGGTCACCCCAGGGACAGCCAGGCACCTGCTCCTCTTGCCCTTCCTGGGGGGAGGGGGCTGCCTTCTGTTCCTGTAACTGCTTTCCTTATGGCCCAGCCCGGCCACTCAGACTTGTTTGAAGCTGCACTGGCAGCTTTTTGTCTCCTTTTGGTATTCATAACAGCCAGGGACTTGATTTTGATGTATTTTAAACCATATTAAATAAAGAGTCTGTTGCCTTACTTCTCACCTGACCTGTGTGCTCCTTTGATGCTTGTGGATTGGATCTATTCAGCCCCTTCAGTCATCACTGACTTGTCCAGGTCTGCTGCAGAGTGGCCATGACGGTGCTCTGGCATCTTGCATCTTCGAGAGTGCCTTTGAGCAGTTACCACAGCCACAGGACACTGGCAGATTCACTTGAGCTGCCTGAGTGGAGCCCTTGGCAAAGTTGGCAAGACCCTTGCATCAGAGAGGATCCCTCAAAAAAAATTGTCCTTGATCTGGGGGCTCATGGGCTAGAGAAGGGAAACGGTACTTTTAGGTATAGACAGGTCATTGGTGCTGAGAGCAGAGAGGAGGCCCCTGCCCCCTTCAGCAAGGGGTGGGGGTGATGCCTGGAATGGCCTGAACCAAAGGTCGGGTAGAAGATTAACGTCATTTAGTGATGAAATGGTATAGCTGGGAAGCAAGTGCATGGGATGGGGCAAGGGGGTGAGGCTAGGCCCAGAGCCTGGGTACCAGGTTGAGGAATGTGGGCTAGATCCAGAGGGCAGGGGGGCAACTCAAGGTGTTTCAATAGGAAATTGATAGGCTCCAGGAGTAAGGCAAAAAGTATGGAGCCAGGCATAGGCCAACTGAGGCCTAGGTTAAGACAAGTGGACACTCCTTACTGCTATTTGGGTCTGTGTTGTGGGTAAGCACCTATAGCCCTGGCCTGCCCAAGGGAATGCACAGGGGCCTCTAATTGTATGTATTCCTTAGGGAGAGCACATTCTCTGTTCAATTTTTCATTTACCCACCTCAAGCCTGGGACTCCTGTATGGGAGAGATTCTGCTGGTGGCCTCACCCAGCACCCTGTTCTTTCTGGGGCCTGGGTTGGTCTGGCACAAAGGAGGATATGTGCTGAATGTCCAAAAAATGGCAGAGGCAACCCACATGCCCTTCCTTCCAGGCCTCACAAGTAGATGTGTTCACACTGGCTGTGACAGTCCCAGCAGAGCCTCTGACCCTTCTAGCCAGGTCCTGATAAATGTTTTTTCTGTGCTGACCATGTTATTTCCAGTCACAGATCTGGAGGGTGGGGGTGGGGAGGCTGCTGCCCCAACTCTTGGAACTTCCAAGCAAAGCAGCTCTGAGAATAGTGAGGTTTCTGTCCCCCCAGTGAGGCAGCTGAGGATAGGAACCATAAGGGTGCTCCCTCTGTCAGCAGCAGTGCCACTGTCTATCAGCTCCCGGGGGCGGGGGGGGGATTTCCGTGGTCCCCACTCTGGCCTCCTGGTTATTGAAAAAGTCTAGAATTACTCTCTCCCCTTGTGTAGTGGTCTCAGTGTTGGAAGTACCCGAGAAGGAATCGTGAGCAGGTGACCTCAGGAGCAGTGCCCATGGCCCCTCACATCACCAGAGGCCAAACCTCAGAAAGCCACTTCTGCCCGGAAAGGGGAAGGTGGGCTGGGTGGCTGTGTGCACTGCCCTGGGCCAGCTCACTTGAGCCGGCTGGGCCGCCTGGCCAAACACGAGCCTCTCTCCTGTTGTATCAGATGCTGCTCTGGGGACCTGCGCCAGGAGTCTCTGCCAGGGCTTTAAATAGCTGCCCCATTGATCTGGCTGCGAGCAGCAGCAGCCACACTAGGTCAGCGGCCTTTCAGCACTCAGGTTCCCCTGAGGACTGGAGTCAAGTGCCAGGGAATTGCATGATCTTCCCTATGACCTGGTGCTCCCCACACCTGTCCTCTAGGTCTGGGGAGTGGGGAGGGCTCCTGTCACTTCATTTGTGGCAAAAGACAGGCCCCAACACTTAATAGAGAAAACTGCCTGGTGTTGTAGAGAGAGGGGTTTTGCCCTCAAAAGGCTGTTGAGGGCTTTCGCTAGACTGAGGAATGACACTGATATCTTCCTTCAGGGTTGTTATGGGGATTAAATGTACCTAAAGTGCTCCATTGAGCTCACTCCATTGATGGCTGTCTTTGCTCACAGTGTCTTCCTGCTGCTGCTTGTGCTGCTTCTATGCTTAACATTCTCTCTCTCTCTGTCCTGTCTCTCCTCTCCCCCGCCCCACCCCCCTTTCTGACAAAGCCACCACCATTTTGTAAGGAACTGTAGCTTCTCTCTGAAACTGCCGGGAAAGGGAAAATCTTTTTAAAATTGACGTCACACAACCAACAGGGTCCCCTAGGTTCAGACGGGGAGGTGAGAGGAACGGCGTAGCACATGCGGGGATGCTCCTCCCTTCTCACCCTTCCCAGCTAAGGAGAAGGTCACTTTCTCTTTAAATGCAAATTAACTCCCTCCAGCTTAGCTTCCACCCGGTGGTGTTCCCAGGAGGAGAGGGCGGAGGGCGGAGGGAACTTGCACTGAAGGAAGCATCAATCGAGACCCCAAACCTCCAGGTCAGTAGCCCCCTGAGGGAGTGAGGGCGGGGGCGGAATGACGCGGGTCTGACGCTCCGTCTTCGAGCGCGGCTCCGGAGCTGAGCGATGCGTTTGGCACATGGCTTTGGAGCCCGGGCGTGGGAAATAGATCCCCAGTCGCCCCAGCCGCTCCTGGGGAGCACAGGCTCCGGCTCCAGTGCTATCAAGTTCCTAATTGGGTCAAGCTGCTGCAGGGAGAGGCGGAGTATGCGCTATCTCCCCTCCCCACATCCCCAAACCCTGTCGGTGCCAGCCAGCTGTGTGCCAGTGTAAATGCTTAAGTGCCAGCCCCCCCACACACACACCCCAGAGTTCGGAGTTAGGTTTGGTAGCAGCAGCTGGAATGAGACTTCTAGAGGAGGGGACCCCAGCCGACCAGAGGCTTCGGGGGCGGGGCTGGATCCGAGGCGGCGGAGCAGCCTAGCCACAGCCTCAGCCATTGTTGGAGGCCCAGGCAGCCAGCGGCTGACCACGCAGCCCACCCTGGCAGCAGCTGAAGTCCAGCAGGGACTTTCCGACTGGGAAAAACGAAGCAGCTGCAAGAACACCCTGGGGGAACTTCTGGGAGTCCCTGGTGTTTTCGGTTGGGGGTGGGTGGAAGAGGAGGGATGCCAGTGTCTAAGTGGGGGAAACCCACAGTGAACCCTGCCCTGTGTGCTGCGGCTTCTCCTACAATAATCCAGACCGTGGGGCCTTCCCAGGTGCCCCCCCCTGCACCTTGGCCCCCTCCCATGCTGATAGGGTTTGTCAGCATCTGCTTAGGCCACTGATAAATAGAATGGGGCTTAGTGAAGGACACCCCTAATCCTCAGCTGGGCCCCTGCAGCTCACCTCCATCCTGTCTCCCACTACATTTCCTCTACCAGCCCCGCCCCTGCAGCCTTGGGGACAGGAAACCACAGCAGTGCCAAGATAATTGTGTCTGGTCCTGCCCTTTCAGGAGGGGCCTAGGTTTTCAGGCAGAAGGAATCAGGGTGGGCCTTAGAAGGTCCTTCAAGTGTACATCCATGACCCCAGCAGCAGACACTGACATCTTGCTCTGCCCCTACTGTACAAATGAGGGGACAAGTTGGAAGGTGCCAGGGCCCTTCCTTTGCAGCTCTCAGGGATTGTGGGGTGAAGGGCTAACTTTGCCCCTGCCTATCTTTGTGGGGTTGCTTCCCTCCCAGGTGTGAGGCCCAGACAGCACCCAATGGATGACAAGAAGAAGAAACGGAGTCCCAAGCCCTGCCTGGCCCAGCCAGCCCAGGCCCCAGGCACACTACGCAGGGTCCCTGTGCCTACCAGCCACAGCGGCTCCTTGGCCTTAGGACTTCCTCATCTGCCATCCCCTAAGCAGCGGGCCAAGTTCAAGAGGTGGGTACAGAAGGGAAGCAAAGCAAAGGAGGAGGAATCCCAACTCTGGGCTGCACTTTAGAGAGGAAAGCAAAGGGGACCTCTGCCTTTAGTTCCTAAGCAATCATTGATGCCTTTCTGGAGCTGGCCCCTGAGAACTGAGAGCTCACTCAGACCCAGTGTCTATCTTCAACTGTGTGGCAAAAAGGCCAGGTAGGTCACTGGAATCACACAGCATGAGGATGTGTCTCAGAGGAGGGAGTGAGCAACTCTGCCAGAAAGTGAATGTTCCACGCTGAGAGGCTTACCTGGCATAAATATGGAAGAAAGCTATTACCTGAAAGGTTTCAGGAACCACAGGTGGTTTGGGGGCTCTGGAGTATCAGATAGGAAAGGGTGAGGGAATACCTGGAGGCACAATTTGAATTCTGTTGAATTTTTTTTTATGATTGGGAGTTTGCATGCTGCCTTATGATGTATCCATGTTTGTTCTCCACTAAATACAATGTATTCTTTCTCCAGTTGTTCCAAATAAGACCACTGTGTTTCCCTGTGTTTTGCACACCACTTGTCTAAGAGGCATGAAGCTCAAGGCTGGGGGGAGAGTAGCAAGAAAGGCAACTGGGGAAGCAGGAGAGGGCCAGGCTGGCAGGGGCATTCAATTTTATCCTGAAGGCAGTGGAAACTTTAAGACAGTTTTTTTTTTAGTTTTTTTTTTTTTTTTTTT